CCCGACTATACACTCGCCTCCAACGCCTAAGTTACATGGACAGAAGCGCCACCTCTGCCAGCACTGAAAGAAAGACGGGTCTGGGATAGCAGCAGAACTGCAGTCTAAAAGCTCTTCAACCTGCACACAGAAAGAAAAGGAGCAACACCACCAAAGAGATCAAGGATCACGTTGGTGCTGGGATGTGAAAACTCCAAACTACAGGAGTCGCCGAAAGCACCCGGAGTCGTAGAACAACCCGACAAACCGGATGAAATCGCCTCAAGTCCGGCTTTGAGAACCAAAGACCGATTCTAAGGAGTGACTGTAAGAACACCTCCTGCGACAAATGGAGGAGACCACACTGAAGAACGAAGAGCGAATAACACCTTAGCAGTAGTCGTCACCACCACTAAGAGAAGAAGACCACAGAACTCTGGTAGAGAATGTAGAAAGCGAAGAGGACTGGAGAAGCATCACACGCCATAGCCATAGACGACTCGCCGTTTCCGAACCTCCAAAAATCCTTCACGCGCAGAACCAAGAAGCAAACATGACCACACAGCCACATCTGACCCTTGCACGCGCCACCGAATAATGAAATCTCCGATGAAACGCTTCAGGGAGAGGAGGACGACCGCCGAACCGAGACACCCCGAACACGAGCCGCATCGAACACCCTCCACAGCTCTGCTTAAACCGCAAACAAGACTCTTGCTTTCAAGAGAGAGAACAAGGTTAACAAATGAACCACACAACCTCGATTGAAGCAGGACTACAGATCCCCGCCGCAAGCTGCTACCCAGTTACAGATCTAACAGGAGAAAACAGATCTGAGAACACAAACCCTAAAAAGCCGACTCCTTTCCCCTGCCTCACCGGTCAACCTCGCAGAGACTCCAAACCACAACCACCACCACTAGATCTACGACCTCTCAAACGGAGCAGGTGAGACGCCGGCGGAGAACCCTGTCCAGAGCCGCAAACATATCAGAGAACCAGGAGAGAGGGAAAGAGAAGCAAGGAAAAACAAAGGAAAACGAAAAGCCTCCGGCGCCGGCGAAGAAACCGGACACCGGAGCTAAGACGGCGTGAGAAAGGTCGGGACTTGAGAGAGTTGAGAGAGAGAGTTCCTTTTTTGGTTTTTTTTTATCCCCATCCCAAGAATCTCTAACTTGGAGTGGCACTCTTGAGTTTTGAGGAGGTTGGAGATCCTGGCGAAGTGGCGATGCATCCACCTTCTCAGGTTATTAATAATTGCAAGTTTATGACAATCTGAATATAAAAATTGACATGATATGGTTATTTACAACGCTACGAATTTCAGAGTGAATAAAGATATATAAAAAATAAAATAAATGGGTAATTAAATATATGCTATTAGATCCGTTTTGAAAATGTATATTTCATAAACAAATTTACATACAAAGAAAACATTTAAATTTGATAATAACTATATTTTTTTGTGATATACTATTTTATAACTTTTGAGTAATTGAAAACACAACTAACTTATTTAAAGTTTACAATTTGCCATTGTTAATTAATAAAATGTTCTTCTATTCATTAAAAATATTTGAAATGTATTGAAATATAAAAATTACCTTTTGAAACATTTTCTAAAGCACATAACATTTCGAAACGGACGAAAATACATGATTATGCAACTAAAAGTCTAAAACACAGAGGGTGATAATTAATTCTCTAATGTTCTAACAATTATATTTTATTTATCTTGTTATTGCCGACAAACTCAACTATTATTAAACCTACATATTAGCGCTAACAGATCTTTGTAGGTGACTAATTTAGTCAATCATTAAATATTGTTCAAATCAATTAAAAAATAATTGGCTGAATTTAAAAAAACATTACCTCTAATCTTATTTTCAATGTGAAACTTTATCGTTTTTAGTAATTTATAATCGTTTAAAAAAATTAAAATATAACATATAAGAAAAAATCTAATTTTCTTTTATTATATGCTTAATATGATTTTTTATTTTTTAATAGTAAAAATTAAATAAATTAAAGAGGATAAAAATTAATATCAAATCGTTATTATTCATAATCATTAGTTATGATATATATGTTACTTATATTAAGTAATTCTGTAGTTTTTATTTAAGAAAATAATAGATAATTTTGTTTTGTATACTCCTAAACAATTTGATAGTTAAAAAATATAATATATATGTAGTTGGACTAATCTATTTCTCTAAAAAATTCAAAATCATTTTCATTGTGGAAAGTGACTACAAAAAATGTTATAATACTATATGATTAATATATAGGGGATGAGTACCACAAAACAACTTTTAGATATAACCCATGCATATAACAGAGATCTTATAGACACTAGACACATACATAACTTGTGTTATAAAAACAAAGTGCTTATATATCAGGAATAGAGGAGGTCATGCTTGACTACTCTGTACGCCACTAGTGTTCGATTTCATAATGAAATCGGTGCTTACTTGTGGCATACAGGGAGCCAGGCAGGACTTTGTATCAAATATATATATATAGTATATCTTCATACTGTATATAGTCTCGTCGGTCTTGATTCCAATAGAATAAAAATGCTTTGTGTAGATTCATTTGGGTGGGAGAAAGGAAACCAGAGAAACAATGGAGTTATTCTTTGACAAGGATTGGTGGAGATATATGTATAAGAGGAATGGTGGGACAAATATATAGAGGAGAATAACAATATAATAAACTTTGCTATAACACTTTGTCCAAAAATAAAAAATAAAATACTTTGCTATAACACTTAAAAAGAATTCGAAAGAGGAAACAAAAGTAGGGTGTTGAAGGAAAGTATAAATAAATTAACAACCGCAAATATACTTCTATCTTTACAAAAATCTTATAGTCTTTGAATTGGACTTGAAATTCTGCAGATGGAAACATGTTTTAATGGTTTGAGTAGGATAAGATCCGCGACTAGCGCAGAGTAAGTTTGAAATAATAATATAAATATATAGTTATGAGAAAAAGAAATTGATATGTTGGTCGATCTGTCAATTAAATACAATTTAAGATTGTTTATACAATCATTTATAAATGATGCAAGAATAAATTGTAAGTATCGTGATTTTTATTTTATATATTATTCATTCGCGAATTTGTTGTATATGGTGAAATCATACAAATAAAATTATGTGTTCATTTTCTCTTTCAAACTTTTTATATAAGATCTGCGCATGATAATTACATTTTATCTACAAATTATATATGT